CAGCCTTGAAGGTGCCCAGCAGGCCCCTTGCACTTCTCATCCATTTCCAGTGTCCTGGGCCAAGACCTGGGTCAGCCGTCTGCTTGAGTTCCTGCAGGAAAATGGCCAATTAAGACAGACGGACACTTACACCAACAATAGAAGAGGGAACATTTAATTGTCGGGCAGAACTCAGGTGCCCCAAGACATGGAAAGCTGAGTTCTAGGGAACAGTTTTTTTCCAACCTCTTTTATACCTTTTTATCTTTCAGTTCAAAATTAGCTAGTCATGGCTACAGATGTTAGAAACTAGGGTACTGTTAATAATTACAGTCTTTTTTTTTCCCTTTTTCTTTTCAAGGTTATTTTAGCTCAGCGTAAAGTTTGTTTTTATCTTTGGAAGAGTTCTTCTACAGCTGCCTGCTGCTTAGTCAGGATCACTAACAAGTATCAGATTCATTTCTCCCTCCTCAGAGTGATGTGCCCGGTGTCATTCCAGCAAGGCAGGAGACTAGCAGTTCTGGCTGCCCAGGTGGGCTTTGCTGGAGTGGTGAGGGGGGCGGCTGGAACCTGGGGAGTACTGCGGACTGGTGGGCACCAGAGAGGCATTGAGCAGGAGAGCAGGCACAGAACCACCCGGCCAGAGGCCACAAGTCGGGGGCTCATGGGCAAGTCCATTCCCGCTCCCTTCCCCCAGGAGGAGGTGCTCACTGCCTTACCCATAGGGACCTGCCCAGCTCTGAGTGCCCCAACCAGAGAGATCAGAGGCCAGCCTCACCCTCTCTTAATGCTCTCAGAAAAATTAGGTAAGTGTCATCACTGTGTGTGCGCCTCAGGTGTGGTAGGAGCGGATGCTCTGGTAGCTGGGGAACCCACGGGGTGCTCTTCTGTCTGATCAGACCCCAAACTCCACAGCAGAACACAGGACCCCTCCCCTGCAGCTGCTCCCACGAGTCCTGCACACAGCCTTCCTTCCTGCGCCCTGAACACCTGCCCCTGAGCGTGCCCTCATCCTCCTTCCCACCTCACTGTCCTATCTAAGGCAGGCACACAGGACTTCCCCACCTTAGACCTTAGAACACGAACCGCTGGCCCATCTTTGGGCATGAGTCTCCTGAGGCTCGGTCCACTCTCTGCTCCGCTGCTGCCCTGTAGCCCTCCTCTCTTGCTCTTGGATGTGTTGCAGGCCTGCCACTCCCCAGCACAGAGCGATGAGGGGGGAGAACATCACCAAGGTGAGCACGTTCGTGCTGCTGGGCTTCCCCACCACACCCGAGCTGCAGTACGTGCTCTTCCTCCTCCTCCTGCTCGCCTACCTCTTCATCCTGGTGGAGAACCTGGCCATCATCCTCACGGTCTGGGCCAGCCCCTCCCTCCACAGGCCCATGTACTACTTTCTGAGCTCCATGTCATCCTTGGAGATCTGGTATGTGTGTGACATCATGCCCAAGATGCTGGACGGCCTCCTCCTTCAGCGGAAACGCATCTCTTTTGTCGGGTGCATGACGCAGCTCTACTTCTTCAGCTCCCTGGTGTGCACAGAGTGTGTGCTCCTGGCTTCCATGGCCTACGACCGCTACGTGGCCATCTGCCACCCCCTGCGCTACCACGTTATCATGACCAC